CTTTATAATAAAGAATAAAATAATATTTTAAGGTTATACACAAGATTCCTAGTGTTAAACCTATATTCTCGACACTATTAAGGTAGGCTCTATGCAACCACACCATATATATATATATATATATATATATATCTTGCTAGCCTAAGAAAAGTGAGGACTTTAAACTTTCCTTTAACCTATACCATGCCCAGGTAAAGGAGTTGGGTTGTGTTAGGCAGGCAATCAACATAAAACTTTGCCAAATCTTATCATGAATCCTGAACCTACAATATTTGCTTATGCTAGGGCATTTTCCAGAAGCAATGCGCTATACCGAAACCCAGGTACAATGAGAACTGAGCAAGAGTTAGCTGGGGCGCTCCCCAAAAGCAACGCACCACAGTGCCGTCGGGTTGTGGTGAAAAATAGACAAGGGTTCCCACTGCATTCTAGACAAGAGTGGGTTAAGCAGCTAGTCCAAGAGAATAGGATTTGTCTAGCCACATAGAATATATGAATATTTACAAGTAAGAGTATAGAGTTAGTGGATACAATGAGATAAAGGAGTGTAAACATAGCCTATCTCCAGGAAACTAAATGGAAAGGAGAAAAAGCTAAAGCAATAGATGAGTATAAACTTTGGTATACAGGAAAGGATAATAATAGAAATAGCGTAGGCATAATAGTAGACAAAGATTTAAAAGATAAAGTAGTTAATGTCAACAGAATAAGTGACAAACTCTTATTAATTAAACTTGTATTAGGGGCAGAGATAATTAACGTAAGTAGTATTTATGCACCACAAGTAGGATTAAAGGATAGAATTACAAGACAATTTTGGGAGGACAAGGATGGAATTGTCCAGGACATAACAAATGAAGAAAGGACCTTTTCAGGAGGGGACTTGAATGGTCATGTAAGGAAGGATGGTAGAGGATATGAAAGGGTACATATGAGGGATATGGATTTGGTGAAAGAAATGAGATGGAGAGGCTATTCCAGATTTTGCTATGGCCTACAACCTAGCAATAGCAAACACTTACATTAAAAAGCGAGATGAACATTTAATAACTTATAAAAGTAAATCACACAAAAGCCAAATAGACGTCTTCCTATTTAAGGTAGATCAACCATCATGTAAAGATTGGAAGGTTATCCCAGCAGAGAGTTTGAGTACCAAACATGGGCTCATGGTTATAGACGTCTGCATAAAGACATGGAAGAGAAGGGGTGAAATTAATAGGTGTCAAAGAACTAGATGATGGACTTTTAAAAAATGAGAAAATAAGTTTATTTAAAGATAAATTACTTAAAGAAGAAAAATAGAACTCTAAACATGATGTCAATGTTATATGGAATGAGATGCTTGACTGTATTAAGAAAGTGGTAAAAGAAGTTTTAGGCGGATCTAGAGGGAAAAAAATTCCGATAAGGAAACTTGATGGTGGAGTGATGAGGTTCATATGGCATTAACAAAAAACGATCATGTTATAAAACTTGGCAATGTAATAAAAATCACCAAAACTTAGAAGAATATAAAAATTTTAAGAAAAACGCTAAACAAATAGTAAAGCTAAATTTAAGACGTACGATAATCTATACAGTAAATTGGGAACAAGAAAATGTGAAAAAGATGACAAATTAGAAAAAATGAAAGAGAAAAAGTATAGGGATTTAGACTATATTAAATGCATTAAGAGTGAGGATCAAAAGGTTTTGGAGATGAATGAAGGGGTCAATGAAAGGTGGAGAGCTTACTTTCAAAAATTATTAAATAACAAACACAATGTGAAATAGCGGTAGAAGGAACCTCTCAGGGTGAAGGTCATAGATACATTCGTATGATTAGGATATCGGAAGTGAAAGGCGTTTTGAAAATGACGAAAATAGAAAAGGCTTTAGGACCAAATGGTATCCCGATAGAGGTTTGGAAGTGTATGGGGGAGATTGGCATTGACTGGTTGTCCATGTTGTTCAACAAGGTTTCAGAACAAAGAAAATGCCAGACAAATGGAGAAAAAGTATTGTGGTACTAATTTACAAGAACAAATGAGACATACAGAATTGTGCAAACTATCGAGGGATCAAACTTAAAGCCATACTGTGAAGCTCTGGGGCAACGAATAAGGCATGAAACGAGTGTATCAGAAAACCAATCCGGGTTTATGTCAAGAAGGTCAACAATCGAGGATATTTTTCTACTTGAGCAACTAATTGAGGAGCTTAAGGCGAAGGGAAAAGACCTCAAAGTGGTCTTTATTGATCTAGAGAAAACTTATGATAGAGTACCTCGAGATTTGATTTGGTGGATGTTGGAAAATAAAGGAGTCTTCAGACGCTACATCGTCTTAGTGAAAGATATGTACAATGGAGCACAAACTAGTGTACGAACAACTAGTAGAGAGACGAGTGAGTTTTCAATGACAATAAGCTGACATCAGGGGCCAACATTGTGCCCATACCTCTTTGCCTTATTTATGGACGACTTAATTAGGCACCTACCAGATGAGGTATCGTGGTGCATATTGCTTGCAGATAACATAGTTTTTGATCAATGAGATCCGAAACGGTGTCAACAAAAAGTTAGAACTTTGGAAGGATGCTCTAGAATTTATAGGTTATAAATTAGCCGGACTAAGACAAAGTATATAGAATGCAAGTTTAGTAATAATAGGAGTAGAGAGGAGGAAGTAGTTAAGATTGACAGCTAGAAAATACCAAAAAAAACGCACTTTTGATATCTTGGGTCGATAATCCAGAAAAATAGAGAGAATGAGGAAGATGTCACACAGAATTAGAGGTGCGCAAAGTGGAGATATGCAACCGGAATTTTATGTGATTGCCGCATACCAATGAAGTTGTAGAGCAAATTCTATAGAACAGTTGTGAGACCGACTTTGCTCTATGGGGTGGAATATTAGGCGGTCGAAAAACAATATACCCATAGAATGAGTGTAGCGAAGATGAAGATGTTGAGATAGATGAGTGGCAGGACAAGAAGGAATAGAATTCGAAATGAATACATTCGGGAAAATTTAGGTGTGGCACTGATAGGCGATAAATGAGAGAGAGAAGACTTGGGTGGCTGGCCATGTGTGGCGCAAACCTAGCACCTGTTAGTTCAAGTGGAATATGGATGGCTAAAACAAGGAAAAGGATAGACCAAAAAGAACATGGTTGAAAGTAGTGAGAAAAAATATGGACACTTATGACCTCACTAAGGGTATGACCCTTAATAAAGCAGAATAGCATATCAAGATTCGTGTTGCCGACCCCAAGTAGGTAAATACATCAGAAATCCCACTTGACCCCCAACAAGTCAAACCCCCTCCTTTCAAACCAATAACTCTTGAGTGCCCTGCCAACCAATTTTTTTCTTCTTAATTTGATTAAAATATGGACCCAACTAATCACTGTTAGACCACTCCAACCTTGAGAACCCAAAATCTAGCTGCTCTTCCTCATGCTAGAGTTTCTATGAAATTATAAAGGAAGGAAGAGAAGAGAATGGGTTCCCTCAAGAGCATATTATTATTCTTGTTCCCCAATGTGTTCCTTAAAGAAAACAAGGGAATATACCACTGATGAATAATATAAACAAACAGAAGCAATAAAGGGTAAAGATCAGTGGAGTTCATGGACTTCATTAGGCAACATAAAATGACCCGCTCTTTACCAAATAAAATTCACTAGTAGAGTCCAAAAGAAATTGACAAACAGATAAATTACTGGGTTTGTAAGAAGTGCAGCAAAAGTGTTCTTATTATATTTTCAGCAAATGCATTTAACATTTAACGATCATATAGAGTACAATGGAATATCTGCAGGCTAAACAAATAATGCAAAGTATCACCTCTAAATTTTCTTTTCCAAGTTTTATCTTTCCAACAAAGGATCCATTTCAGTCCTTGCTAAGAATTGAAGGGAAATCATGTAAATGTCACTCCCTTTTCATGATAAGTACAAAATTATACATGCACTAGTGGTGTGATGTACAAATATATACACCAGGGGGACATCCACCGACCAATTCCCAATTAAACAGCCAGACAAGGATCATCAGGAATCAAAGGTGGATGTCACCATGGTCTTGCATATAACAGACACCACAGGTAATGTGATGCTCCTCCAAAATATAATAAGCACAACATTAACAAATTGGAAGTAAATAACGAATCATTGAATGCAAAACAACTGAATATATCACTCGAACACCCCACTATTAAGACAATCCCATGATTAAAAATAGACATATTCATTAAACGTGAATAAAAAGATGGGAGATGAAGAAACTCTACCACTCTTTCTGGGATTAAGAAAAGACAGAGGCTGAAATCTGGAGCTGGCATAGCCATGAGAGCCTGCATGCAAAAGAAATGAAAATATGAGCGAAATTACATTATTTAACAAGAAACGAAGTTTGCATTTTCTTTCATGTCTTCATCTGACAAAAACTAATGGTACCTTGACCAAAATCCGTGCAACAATTTGGATATTCATGCGCCCAGGCTCAAACTGCAGAAATAAAAAGCAAAGTCAGGGGAAGAAACAACATATTTTTCTTTTTAAAAAAAAAAAAAGAATCCAAATTCAGGTCTCTATAGTTTGAGATATAAAAGAATAGAATAAGACAAATCTACATGATTCCTTCACCCACTAGAACACTCGAAGAGGGAGAGGGAGAGAGGTTCTTAGACCTGATAGAGTCGGAGAAGGCAAAGATTTGCATCCAAGTTGTATGTCTGAGAAGAAACCTGTATCATGAAGATGGTGAGGACAGAAAAACAGAGGCGGTGGGGGGGATAAGACCAGAAAGTTGCAGATTAAAGGACAAGAACACCATAAAATGCACCCCTCGTAAGATTTCAAACAATAGAGCCACAAGGAGGTTAACAGAGTAAGCATTTGCATTCAGTATTTGGAAGTATTTATTATACTTCACAATGGAAATAATTTCAACCAAAAATTAAAGGAGAAAATTTTAAATGCGCTTGTGTATATCAGTAAAGATATGGATGTGGTACTTCTTTGTTAATAGAATTTCTCTTTTTTATGAATAACAGATGCATGTGCTAAGTAATATAAGAGTGTGTATTAATGAGGCCATGAAATACATGATTTACTCAGTTACATGAAAGACCTGTTTTTCTCACAAAATAAAAACCAATGCACCTCTTGAATATATGTTTGGCCAACTGGTATTTGACTTGCGTGGAATCAAGAATCAGATATAATTTTCAGGATAGCTTCGCACCATCGAAAAATAGATGCATGCACTCCAAATCAAATTGGGTATGGCCATAATCTAACATTGAGAGAACTCAAGGCCTTGTGAGCTTTTTATCCCATTGATAAGACATCTTGTTTGCACAAGAGAGATGAAGGTTCGAGCCTCAAAGTTTGTCCCAAGATCCAAATATACCTATTATCTTTTTAGCGATAAAAATAAGAAGCGACAAGTGAGAGTCTTTACTAACTAAAACGAAAAAGTACTGTACATAACATATCCTTATCCATCATAAAATCTGAATTTAAATTCATCAAATAAGGAAAAATCTATTCTGAATTCCCAAGTCTTTCTAAAATTAACAAAATCATGAGAAAGAAATGAGAATCTTCACTAACTAATACGAACATGGCTGGCCATATGTGCTCATACTTATCAATCATAAGGTTCTATACATAGTGCAAATTGAAAATGCATCATTCTTCACTCCATCTCAATTTGGTCATATGTTTCCATCTCAGTAACGAGAGGATGTTCAATATACATGTCCCATCTCCAGATCATCCAACTAATAGGCTGAAACCACATCAGAGAAAAGTCATAAACTACAATTTTCAACAAGAAGATGCCCAAAATGCCATGACTTAGTAGTGACATCTCCCCTTATTTTCCTTTCTCCTCAGCTTAATAATAACAAACATGAAACCTCATAAACAATAGTGAAATCTGCCCTTTTCCCATTTTTTGGTTGATGAATATCAGAGAAAACCAACATATATCTAAAAATTCTCAAAAATAATCAGTCTCAAATAAAGGCAAGTGCCACCAAAATCTCACTCTGATTAGGAAGCTCAACTGCACCACATCTAATCCCCCATGCCACGGAAAAACCGAAATCACTAAATGCCTAAAAAATGTGGCACGTATTTTGCTCCAAACAAGAACTCACTGGGTGGTAGACAAGCTCCAATTATCTACTACAATCCACTTTCTGGCTATGGAAAACCCTACTTGCTATGATCCCAAACGAAGAACCAAATTCATAAGAAAAAACATCCACAGCAAGCAGACAGCGTTCTCAACGCATGTGTCCCCAGTTACTAAAGTTTCAGTTACCCTTTATTAAAAGTGGACTGTAGAAAGAGAAACTTACAAGCTTAGATCAGCCTTCAATGTTAAAAACTTAATCCACTTTGGAGTCCATTGCCACTACCCCCAATCCCCAACCCACAAAAACAATGATAAGACTACCAAATGTTTCTCCAAGCATTTCCTGAACTCTTGAGGAACTATGGTTGCCTTCATTGCCGAAAACAAAAATTACAATTTAAATTCAAATACGCTGCTGCCAAATACTACATATAACTAGTGCAACTTGATTGGAAGTCAGAGACCGTGTTTATAAAGGATATTGGATGCGTAATAAAACCAGTGTCTTAACATACTTGTAATTCCATATCTGAGAACCATAATTTTTCCATAGTCAATAACAAACAAGAAAACAATTCTTTGACCACAATAATCAAAATGTGCTCTAGCAGAGCACCACGGAATTAAATCTTAAATAATCAGGTTACTAATATTAAGAAAGACTATTGAAGTAACCAATAGTTGAAAGACTGAATTCTGGCAGAATTTGACGCTTGTAAACATAATAACCTCCAAGATTTTCTATAATCCAGGAAAAAGAAAAAGCCATTACCAATGTGAATTACAACATCAATAACCATGCATCAAAAATTTCCAAAAAATGCGTCCATATCAATGCAAAAAACCTAAGGAACATACTGGAAAAATGCTGGTTCTTCATTTAAACAAATTTCAATTATTTTAGTTGAAGAACAAGGAAGTAGTTACAGCTAATCCCGTTACAGATGCACAAACTACTCTGGAACTAGATTAACAAGAAATCTCTTCATTTGTTAGGGAAAAATGTTTTAAAATAAAATCTTCATGTTAAATAACAAAGATATCAAAATGAAAAATTTCATTAAAAATGTGACATGAGAGAATTCTCCTACCTGTTCATGAATATAGGCCTCAAGGTCAGGAAGTATATCTGGATTATAAGGATTCACAGCAATGAGCTGCTCAACTGTGTAAGGCACCTGTTGCCTCGGCGTCTCTCTTTCTCTCCCCATGGATAGCTCACTGCCTTGTCCCTAAAACCTAGAATCAAACACAGGGAAAACCCAATATCAACTCATCGATCAAAGAAATCGAAAAATACGTCATAAATCAATTCACAGCTCATAAACCATGGACTTTGAAACAGTTTATCAATGAAAGCAGAAATTGAAGAGGTAACGAACCAGAAGAATCCTAGATTCAAGCAAGATACCCTAAACCCTAGTTTTTTAACCCGGAGTTTCGAAATGGTTTCCAGGGCACACGTATCTCTCACAAAGCTTTGATTCTTAGTTTTGGTTAAGTATTGTACACTGTAATCCTAGAGTGGGATAGGATCATCACTGTCCAATCAAGGAATTCGACGGTGATGGAGATAGAAGGGCATGATTCGCATAGTGGCTGCACTCTCTCTCCATAATCACTCGACCATTTAATGGATGGTGGTCACCCTCAGGGCTACTCATACCATGTGATCCGGTAGAATGTCTTGCGATGTTTTATTGTTTATTTTAGTTAGATAATGTAGATTTTATATGTTTTTTATCAAAAATTAAAATGTCTTTCAAGACAATGTAAAAAATTGTATGTCTTTTAAGATAGTCTCAAATGAGCTTGTCATGCACCCCACCTCCAAAAACTCCAAAATCATGGATTTTAGGGTTTGTTAATCTCAATCACAATAATGATCATGGATTGCACTAAAATCCATGTGATGGATTTTGGATCCAAAATTTTGGGGTATGTTAGTCTCAATCATGATAATGATCATGAATTTGGATTTTTTTTTAAGTGAGGTTTTATTTTGTTTTTATAAAGCCTATGGCCTATAAAAACTTCATTATTTTGACATTTACCTATATTTTCTATTAAATTTAAAAAATCTCATCAAAATACACACGTTCATGAGTTTGAATGGTGAAAAACAAAATAAAATGTTAAATAGTTTGAGTGTTATTTATAGCTTCATTTTATTTTATTTTGACAAATATATAAATTTCCCAATACAAAATAAGTGGGATGTTTAGTAGTTCATCTCTTTAGTATTGTGATAAATTTTTTTCTAATTTTTTGCTTGGTTAAACAAGAGGAGTTCGAATCGCAACTTACTAACAAACAAATTGGCATCGGAAATTTTGAGCTGACTAGATATTGAAGCAATATGTGCACAAACCAAAGTCCGTGGATCATATAACTTTGTGCGATTGTTTGTAGCCCTCGTCGACTCAGGGAAAACATACAATCACTTGTCATTACTCATCGCCGTCTAAGTTAATTTGGACCATGATGTCCCTTTGGACTATGATGTCCCCAGAGAAAAAGTAAATTTAGGTATAGCTCCAATAGGTGATAAAATAGACTTGCGTGGGATGACCATGTGCAGTGCAGACCAACGTAAGATATATCAGGAGTTACAAGCTAATTCAAGTAAAAGGCTAAAAAAAAACAGTGGATAGACCTAAAAGAACATAGTTGAAAGTAGTGAGAAAAGATGTGGGAATTTATTACCTCACTGAATGTATAATATTTTATATGATAGAAAGACATATTCAGATTAATATAGCCAATCCCAAATAATTAAAAAAAAACTATAATGATGTTGATGATGATGCACACACATACATACATAGAGGACTTTGTGAAGCATGACATCATCGCAAACAGTGTGTTCTACTCAATGTCGGGTCCAAATTTGACTTGAAACCTCTCCATCAGGCAAGGCTTTCCATAGTCATAGTTACTATAACATACATTCTCTTCTTTTAGGGCATGTTTGGTTCATTGGAAACCTCCCCAGAAGGGAGATTTCCAAAAAATTGCTTCATACATACCTGGACTTGGTATGAAGATAACAACATAGTCCCAAGTAAAGCGGCATGAAACTTTATGAGAAAGTGACTTTCCACGAATCAAACATGAAAATTTGGCTTAGCGAACAAAAAGGGAAAAGTTTATATAAGGTTGCAACCTTAAAATATAGAACTACGGGTGCACCTCAAAAATCCATCAGAAAAAGTTGTTTTAATATTGAAAATCCCTCTAATTGGTCATCTCGACATCGAGATGGATGACTATGAAAAAAGAAAGGATTTTGAGTCCCAAAAATGGTGCATCTTACAACACATTATCTAGACTTTCCATTTTCACGACTTTCTTATATTTATAGATCTATTTGAATTTAATCATTTTTGGAGTTTAAAATTTTATAATTAGATATGAAAATAGGTTTTGAGATAATCTTAAGAATATGTTATATCAAAATTATATATTATGATAAAATTGAAAGAGACCGTAAATGGATTGTTTAAAATTGCAACCTTATAAAACCACACCCTAAAAAAATATCTAGTTTCTGAAGAGAGATTTCTGACGAAACAAACACGCCCATTGTATAAAATTGTGTTTAATAATTATTGTAGTTTGTTGTTACGTTGTATGACGTCTAGCTTACAGTGTCACGGACACCGTTAGATACGAATCATCCTTCCACCATGCTAACCAATGAAGCCCAGCCACATCAACCGGCCATTGGAGTGATGTGTAGCTTACTGTCTATAAACTGCTATGCTTCATAGTAGAACTTTCTAGGGTGCATTGCAATGATGCCAATCGCTATAGATTTTCCATTAATCACGAGAATTATACTTTCCTCGATTTTATGGTATATGTCCCCAAATATACCATTTTAGCTGCTCAAAAGATGGTGCAGACTATATGGATATGTGAATATTTTAAGTGGATAGTAGAAAGAGCATTCCAAAATATGCCATTTGTATGGCTTGAAAATCTTTTGTTCTTCTTCAAATCCATGAGTGTCAAAGTTGAGATGATTGATTTACATTAAGGGTGTGATTTGTATAAGGCTGGAATATTTGTGATGGCCTAAAACTTTATTTTCATATCTGATTATAAAATTTAAATATCAAAAAATAGTGTAGAATGAGTAGATATTGAAAATATTGAAAATTGATGGTCTAGATAAAATATTAGAATATGCATTATTTTCAAAACTTGAAATCTATTTTTCTCATGCCCATACATCTTGAAGATCGAATTAAAGGTTTTTTTAGCATCAAAACAATATCTTCTAATGAATTTTTTATATGAGCTTTAATTTGATTGTTTAGGGCCTCACTATCCTCTAAACTTTTTCCTTCCGGACATAGGAGTGGCATTTACCAATGAGATATGAGGTACAACTTTATAAAGCCGCTGCCATCGAAATTTAAATGTCATCCAAATTTATAAATGTTTTATTTTATGATAATTTTTCTTAGGCATACCATGTTTGATTTTAAACTTGATCCATCGTTTTACATAAAGGAAAATTTTAATATGAGGTGCTGACCTTATGCTATTGTAGTAGGATGCAGCTCCAAAATCCTCTAGAATAGAGTATTTTGATGTTAGAAAATCCCAAAAATTGATTATCTTGACTTTGAGATGTATGAATATGAATAAAAAATAAAAATAAAAAAAAATTTCAAGTTCTAAATTATGCATCTTGTAACAAGTTATATAAACCATCTCTTTTCAAGTTTTTAATTGGTTATGGATCTGGATTTGTACCATTTTTTGAAATTTTAAAATTCATAATTGGATTTTAATATAGATTTTCAAGCAATTAGAATGTTTCTGACACCACATTGTATCTCCAGAGAAATTTAAAAGTGTGCTTTATTTTACATTATAAAGAGAGTGTGTTATGTACGGGCAATGTTTCTATGGGAGCCCACTCACAGAGAAAAAAATATGTGAATCTTACTTTCCAGCCATCGGATCTAAAGGTACCACTGGGACAACACCAATCAAAATGTCGCTATTTGAAAACAAACTTGGCAACCGGCTCTCACCCGTTGCGCTTCCCTTACCCATCCCACCTATCACGCTCCCCATTCTCTCTCTCTTTGCCCCTCTCTCTCGCGTCATACTCAATATCTTTCTAATTTCATTATTTCTCTCTAACCCCTGCATTCCTCACCCGCAGGAAACCCTAACCCTCTCAATTGATTTTCTCTCTCTTGTAAAAATGAGAGGAAGAGAGGAGAGCAGCAGCCACACAATCACTATCTTGCTCTCTCTCTAGCAAAAACTAGAGGAAGAGGAAAAAGAAGAGAGGAAAGCAACAGCAACAACAACTATCTCGCTCTATCTCTCTGTCTAGCAAAAACGAGAGGAAGAGATGAGAGCAGCAACAACAACAACTATCTTGCTCTCTCTCTCTAGCAAAAACGAGAGGAAGAGAGGAGAGCAGCAACAACAACTATCTCGCTCTCTCTCTCTATAAAAAATGAGAGGAAGAGGAAAAGAGCAAAAACAAGAGGAAGAGGAAGAGAGGAAAGCAGTAACAACAACAACTATCTTGCTTTCTCGCTTTAGCAAAAATAACAGGAAGATGAAGAGAGTAGAACAATAGCCGCAACAACAATCTCCCTTTCTCTCTCATTACTCATAGGTGTGTTCTAATTGCATATTTTACATCAAAAGGTAAAAGACCAATAGATTTAGCTAAGTAAAAAACTTATTTTTTTTTGTGTTAATTGGAGTTCTTACGTGTACCTAAATTTTTTTGTTTTTCTTGATCTTTTGTTCATCATGCTTTTTTCTTGGTTTTGGAGAATTAAAAATCGAATGAACAAAATTTTTGTTGTTCTTGCCTTTCGTATTCTTTAGAGATAATTGAGCGGCTTAGGAAGTGCAGAGAGAGGAAATCCATTACTTTTGTGGGTTTTGAAAGGAGTAGAGGGATGAATATGGATCTATCACCCTAGTGAATGCCTTGTATTTTTAGCATATGCTTTGGTTTCTGGTGCAGTTAGACCTTAATTGGGTTTTACCTACTGCCTACTGTGTTTACTAATTAAACCTACTGTGTTTACTAATTAAATATTTATAGTCTTATGGTGCCCAATCAAATCTATTAAAGAAAAGTAAAAAGCAAGCAAACAAACATCTGATTCTTACAACCCGAGAAAAAAAAAACTCTCTCATTATATAGTTTTTTGAGTTTCGCTCTTGCCCTCTCTTTGTAAAGCTTTTGTGTTTCTCTCTCTTGCTCCCCTTTTAAAGCTTTTTGAAGTTTAGGTACAGTGCTTATTTTTAAGAGAAAAAATTCATCATTTTTGTGGGTTTTGAAAGGAGCAAAGGGATGAATGTATATCTATTTTCTTACCATTTAGCCTTTGTATTTTTTATTTTTTTACTTTTTAACGTAAAAATATTAATTTTAATATATGTAACATTCAAACAATAAAGAAAAATAAGTTTTAAAGGATTCTCCTTTTGTAGAGT